GTCTGCAATGTTGCTACTGGGGGTTTACAACTGGCTTTTCTAAGCAACAGGGAGGATCAGAACCTTTTCTGTTACAGCTGCCACAAGTTAATTGGGTGTGTTAACACTCCTACATATAACAAGGCACTAGGCTTGCAAGTTTTGAGTTTTGCATTTTGGCTAAACTTGATGGCTCATTTTGAGCTAAGAAACCTTTGGCTGTTGCTGGGAGTGGTTATGCAGCGTCCTGAAGCTGAAGACTGAAGCTGTTTGGAGTGCCAGAGAAACTGCTTGTTTATGGCAAGATAAGGACATACTACTGATAACTAAGTAGGGAGGCTTAGTTTGCATATTGTCATGTAAAGAAGAAGACTCACCGGAGATATTGTTTGTTGCATATTGGTGAGAACAATTCTTCTGTTTTACTTTGTGTTTGTGATCTGCAATGAATAGAACTATATTTTTGTTTCTACTTAAAGCAACAGATTCATGTGTACTTTTTTAGTTTTTTGTCACACTGAGAGTAATAGGGGCTGAGACATTCTGTGGGGTGCTAACGCTACTCTGACATGCAAGGATGTTGTCCAGGAGATGCCCGGATGTTTGATGTTTTATACCAGTGGTTCTCAACCTGTGGGTCCCCAGATGTTTTGGCCTACAACTCCCAGAGATCTCATCCAGTTTACCAGCTGTTAGGACTTCTGGGAGTTGAAGGCCAAAACATCTGGGGACCCACAGATTGAGAACCACTGTTTTATACAATCCTTGTGGGAGGCTTCTCTTATGTCTCTGCATGGGGAGCTAGAGCTGACAGATGGGAGCTCAACCCACTCTCCTCAGATTTGAACCCCTGACTTGTCGGTCCTGCCAGCACAAGGGTTTAACCCATTGCACCATTGGGAGCTCCTACCCCAACAGATAGAAAGCACTTCTGCTGCTGTACTTTGTATGAGGTCCTCTCCATAGAAACTTGACAGATTTTCCACTTTGTATGTTTAGCTTGAAGAAGAGAAGCTTGGTTTCTGATGATTTAAATAGTTGATAGGCTGTCACATTGAGGAGGAAGGGTGCAAGCTTGTTTTCTGTTGCTCCACAGACCAGGACACAATGGAGCAGTGGATTCAAATGGCAGGAAAAGAGATTCTACCTAATTATTAGGAAGCACTTCCTGATATCCTTGAGCCCCCAGTGGCGCAGTGGGTTAAAGCACTGAGATGTTGAATTTGCAGACCGAAAGGTTGCAGGTTTGAATCCAGGGAATGGCATGAGCTCCCGTTGTTAGTCCCAGCTTCTGTCAACCTAGCAGTTTTAAAACATGCAAATGTGAGTAGATCACTAGGTACCACTCCAGCGAGAAGGTAAAGGCGCTCCATGCAGTCATACCGGCCACACGACTTTGGAGGTGTCTACGGATAATGCTGGCTCTTTAATGTCAGAGGAAAACCTTTACTTTTACCTTTACCTTCCTGATTGTAGAGCTGTTCAGTAGTGGAATACTGTATCCTGCTGCCTGGGAGTCCAATGGAGTGTCCTTTTCTGGTGGTTTTTCAACAGAGGGCGTGAGTTGTGTCTTCTTGCCTTGCAGAAAGGGGTTGAATTGTATGTCCATTGGTGTCTCATTCAAATGTACAATTCTGTATTTTCCATTGCTCCAAAACTGACCAGATCAATTAGAACACATCCTCTGAAAAGGCAGAATGTTTGAACTTTCTATGACATCACAACAATCCAGCCAATCATAGCCTGAGTCAGAGTTTAGCACTTTTTGGGCATTCACTGGGTACCCAAGAGGTTTTCCCACGCGAATCATACCAAACTTGGGCCCTCCAGGTGGTTTGAACTTCAATTCTCACAATTTCTAGATAGATTAGGCATGGGCAAACAGCTGGTAGGCTGTTAGGAATTGTAGGAGTTGAAGTCCAAAATACCTGGAGGGCCAAAGTTTGCCCATGCCTGATCTATCTAGATGGTTTTTGTAGTTCTTTCCAATTTGGCAGTTCTGTGACTCTATGTGTCCTTTAAAGGCTGCTTGAAATTTCTTGCCATGCTTCAGTTGCTCCTGAATTGAAAGGGAGAGCACTCTGATGAAGCTCCAAGCTAGACATTTTAATTGCGATGCCAAATGGTGTTTCTGACGGAGCTGGGCAGCGTGTTGGGAGATAGCAGCTGACAGTGTCCTGCCATTCTTCTCAAGTGAGCCACAAACCCAGATGACATGTTCTTTAAGCTGCAAGAGCGAAAGTGCTGACGCTAAACACTCCAAGCATCTCCATCCCCAAAGGAACACTTGGCTACTGCAATGGTCCAGGTTGCGTCAGCCAAAGCCTCCTCCTCCTCCCAGTCCTCATCCCTGCTGTTTTCCTCTGCTCTATTGCAACTGCTTTGAAGCTAATTAAAAGCAAGGCAGGCAAAAGTGGGAATGGTAGCCTAGTTGGGCACAAACATGCATTCCCAAGATCAGTGTTTCTCAACCTTCCCCTTAATACAGCTCCTCATGTTGTGCTGTCGTCCAACCATAAAATTATTTTTGTTGCTACTTCCAAATTGTAATTTTGCTACTATTATGAATCGCAATGTAAATATCTGATATGCAGGATGTATTTTCAATCCCTGGACCAAATTTGGCACAAATACCCAATACATTTAAATTTGAATACTGGTGGGGTTGGGGTGGGGTTTGATTTTGTCACTTGGGATTTGTAGTTGCTGGGATTTATAGTTGTGCTGTCACACGCTGGGCCTGTGCATAAGACTGTAGACAGGACATAAATTCTGTGTGCCCAACGGGATGCTGGGGCTGCCTCAGATTAAAGGCCTTTGGATTTCCTTAAAACAGAGTCTTTAGAGTGCTTAAAGATTCAACAAAGTTCTTTATTAATGAAAACAAACAGGTACTTTAAAGCTTTCTTAACAGTCTATTGGCTCTCTCTCAATCTTGTCCACAGGGAACAGGCACTATCTTCATAACTGTAACTAATGGGGAAATCCTTAACTTCTAATCTGGGCAGTCTGTCTTTGCCTCTGTTGGCGTGGAGCCCCTGCACCCGGTACCAACTACTTCTAGCTTCCGCGAGTGACCCTTACCAAGCAGAGCTTTGTAGACTTCCAGGGAAAAAGGAGTTCAGGTTTCGGTGATGGCTGGCTGAAGTGCTGTGGGACCGGATTCCCTCTGCAAAGGAGCTGTAAGGCTGTATGATCCTCGGCCAAGCTGTGGGCTGTATAATTCTCGGCCAAGCTATGGGATCTTTCTCCCCGGCCAAGCTGTAGAGCCTTTTCTCCCCGGCCAAGCCGTAGAAGACGAAGCTTTCTACAGGAGCTCTTGGTATTATGTCCTGCATGAAAAGCTTCTCTGTGTGGACTGAGCCCAAACTGGCTCCTATTCCCTCCAAAACCCAAAAAGGGGGTGGGACCAGGGAACCTAACTATAATTGACAGGTGGCTTGCCCTATGATTGCAGCCAAAAGAAGCCACCAATCTGCAGAGTCCCTGAAACTTAGGACTACAACAAACATTAAATGCAAAGCAAACAAAATTGGAGCTCCTGGTGCAGTTGTACCTGCACCATAGTTCACCTACAATCAAAGAGCATTCCGAATTCCACTGATGAAATCGAACCAAACTTCACACACAGAACTACCATGACCAACAGAAAATACTGGAAGGGTTTGGTGGAGTGAGAAAAGCGGTATAGAAATACTGTAAATAAATAAATTGTGATCCTTTGTGCCATTTCCAACCTCTGCCAGCACTGTAGTAAACCTATGACAGGTTTTTGGGTAGCAAGACTTGTTCAGAGGAGATTTGTCATTGCCTTCTTCTGAGGCTGAAAGGGTTTGTCTTACCCAAGGTACCCCAGAAAGTTTCTATGGTAGTGATTCTCAGCCTGTGGGTCCCTATTGTTTTGGCCTACGATGCCCAGAAATCCCAGTCAGTTTAACCAGTTGTTAGGATTTCTGGGAGGAGTTGAAGGCCAAAACATCTGAAGACGCATAGGTTGGGAACCATTGCTCTATGGCAAAGTGGGCGTTTGAACCCTTGTCTTCCAGAGTCCTAATCCATTGCCAAATCACATCATGTTAACTCTTGATGTTCCTAGACAAGACTTTTATCATCCAGAACTTTAAAGGTTTGGGTGAGAATTTAGGGAAGTAGTTTTATTTGGACCACACCACCCAGAATCTCATATAGTTTGAGCCGTTCTGGAAAGTGCAATCCAAATACATAATTGGGTTGTTGTAGGTTTTTTCGGACTACGTGGCCATGTTCTAGAGGCATTCTCTCCTGACGTTTCACCTGCATCTATGGCAAGCATCTTCAGAGGTAGTGAGCTTAGACCTCACTACTTCTGAGGATTTTTTTTTTGCATTATCATATTTTTGTTTTTTGTCGTGTGTCAGGAGACTTGAGAAAATGCAATCGCTTCTGGTGTGAGAGAATTGGCCGTCTGCAAGGACGTTGCCCAGGGGACGCCCAGATGATTTGATGTTTTTGTCATCCTTGTGGGAGGCTTCTCTCATGTCCCCGCATGAGGAGCTGGAGTTGATAGAGGGAGTTCATCCGCCTCTCCCCGGATTTGAACCTGCAACCTGTCGGTCTTCAGTCCTGCCGGCACAGGGGTTTAACCCACTGCGACACTGGGAGCTCCACCTCTGAGGATGCTTGCCATAGATGCAGGCAAAACGTCAGGAGAGAATGCCTCTAGAACATGGCCATATAGCCCCAAAAAACCTACAACAACCCACTGATTCTGTCCATGAAAGCCTTCAACAATACAAATACGTAAATTTTCCAAATTGTGTTCCAGACATCACTGTCTTCAGTTGTAACCTCTCTGCTTCTTCTCTCTTTTCTCCTTCAGTTCAGTGAAAGCAAAATGCTTTTTCACTCAGTCTGAAGTTGTAGATAGCTTCCCCATATGACAGAGAGATATCTGTAGCTGGCAGGACTGTTCCTGCCATTCTGAAGTGCTAATTTTGCAAGGAAGCAGACACCAACGGATCTCTTTTGCCTCTTGTTTCTAGGGCTCATTCGCCGGTGCCATGGGATTTGCTTGTTTCTATGCAAACTTCTCCTCCACCGTGAGACGTCGGATGGGGCTGCCTGCGTTCCTCGCCATCTGCTTCGTTCTGCTGAGCTTCTGCAGCTTGCCATGCCTCGCTTTCCGCAGTCCGGAGGGAAGACACACCAGGCGACTGCAGAGGGCCTTAGCAGCAGGGATCGGCTTGGAAGACGTGGCCAATGCAAGCCTCTCGAGCCCAGAAAGTAACTTCAGCGCACCTTTGCAAACAACCAGCACCCTTGCCTCTGAAAGACTGTACAAAGCCCCAGCAGAGCCACCTGGGAGTTCAGTCTACACAGCCACCACCATTAAAGCAACGTTGCAGACCATTTTGAGCGTTCCTGGTTTCTTGGGAGGCCAGAATCCAGATGTTTCTAACATTGCAGAGGCAGGAATTGAGGGAAGCAAAAGACAGTTCCTTACCAGCGAACCCAATAAGGAGCTGGAGCAGAAGGCGACAGTTGTGACTCCTCCAGTTTCTAATGTTCAGGATGACACCCCAGAAAGAGACAGTGGTGGGGGAGTGGGACCTATCTCTCCAGGGGATTTATATGGGGATGTTTTCACACCCATTATCCCAGAAGGAGCAGAAAGCATTGGCTACTCAGCTACAGTCCAGACCACCATGCAAGTACGGGTGGCAAGTTTTCCTAGTACAATGGCTGATGACCAAACCACGAATCCATCCCCTCCTCTTGGCCGGGCAATTGATTCCGAGCAAACCCCAAATGAAGGTGGGCCATTGATTTTGGAAGGCACAGCGTCTACTGTAAAGCCCACTTTACTTCCCACTAATGCGAACATTGGCTTGGAAGTGGGTGTCTCCACTAGTCCAGGGCAACCCAAAGACAACCCCACAGGTGCCCCTGCTGCCGTGCCAATGAGTGACGACTGGGATGATACAAAACTTGCACCGAGCACTCATGCAAGGGCCACACAGGCAGAAATGGTGAACCAGCTCCACATAGTCACTGAACTTTACCCTTCAGCAGAAGGAGAGGAGGAAGACGATGACGTCAAAAGGGTCCCACCACGGATTTTGGCAGTGAAAGAAAGTGAAGGTATTCTGACTGCCGCAAGCTTGGTGTCCACTCAGGGTGGAGCATCCACTATGTTCTCGACTGGCTTGGATCATGTCCACCCCACCCATCCGTCAATGAAGGCTGAAGAGCCTGCTGAAGGCCGAGAGGAAAAACCAGGGCCAGCTGAGACACAGCATCCCAGGCTGATTCCAGAGACCGCCACCACAACCGACGTCACCAAATCCAGTGTCTTTCAAACCCAAGTAGTTCCAGTAAGAGGTACCGTATATACTCGGAGATAAGCTGAGTTTTTCAGCCCTCTTTTGAGCTGAAAAGGCCTCCCTCGACTTATAATGAGGTCAAGGATGGGCAATGGAGAGTGGAGGCCATTGCTTGCAATATATGATATATTTCTCTCCCCTCTTCACTGCCCTTAACAGTGTGTTTTCTTTTCCATTCAAAAGGAAAGGAAGGAGGGAAATGAGATATATTTCATGTCCTGCTTGTTTGTATAGCTCCCTTTCAAAACCACCCAAGTTCCTG